GCTCCCCGGCACTGAGTTTTTTCAGTCATTTCAAATCGATAGGATACAGAATTGAAATATTTCGACCCTTCCAAACCCGGTTTGCTTCTCAATGAACAAAGCTTAAAAAAACACCATTATTTCTTGATAATAAGTGTGCAAGGGGAGTCGTTATTTGGAAAACTGAGGAAAAAAATTTAAAGCGAGTTGCGACTTAAGTCGACTGAACCTTCGCATCGGATGATCCGGAGCAATGATTTAGTCGCTTTTAAAACGTTTAAAAAATATTCCCAGCAATTGCAAAACTGAACAAAGTCAAGTTCCGCGATCGAGGTTTGGTTGTGTGGCGACTTTACATAAAAAGTTCACCGCGTCTTCCGTGGCACAAATTCCCCGAGAAGTCCTATTTCGCATTTCGGATTTGTAGGAAAATGGATGCGACAGTAATTGTTGTCATTTTATCTAAAAGTTTCCTCGTGAGCTAAAATTGCGCAATTAAGAGGAAATTCCAATTCAGTTTCATCTTTTAATACTCCTTGGGATTCTTAATCGTTAATTGCACCAATATTTTGACGTTCCGGCAGGAATTCAAGTGTGAGCAGTTGTCTAGACATTGCATTATATTTATTTTCCACTACCTACGAATATTGGAACTCTTTGTTTATGCAAACTACTACGCGCGCCATCTCTACATTCAGTTCAAAGCTTACTCGAAGCTATAAAATTTGTCTCCATTAACGATGTTTTAATTTTCTTCACCATTTCCCTTACATTCTTTCAATGCTAGGTATCCATTTTAAAATTCCGGGCAAAGGTCTCCGCCACCAAAAGCGGATAAACGAGGGTAGCGTCTGAGTAAACCTAAAAGGAAATAATTAACATTTATATTAGCAATGGAATAAGAAATAGCTCATTCATTCTTCCACCTGTATTCCATTTTAACTGCAAGTCACCCCTAAAACAATCGCATAAAAACATGATCCTTGACTTCCCCATAGTGGTTTAAGACTCTACGAGGCTACTTTCGTAAGTGCGCCAGTTTTAGAACTTTCATAACTAGTTATTCAAGTAAAACACCCTGACACTCGGTGGAAATGGTTTCATTCATGCATTAATTATTTTTTTTTTTTTGCATTTAGTCTGATAGTGGTTGATGCAATGAGTTTGACAAAAAGGAAAATAAAACGTTACTGCACATCATTTGTAATTTGAATAGGACGCCTTGGTCATGGAAATTTGTAAGCAAGCGAGTGGCTAAAAAAAGTATTTTCCGTTTCCGTTGGTCGTTTCCGAACTCTG